GAGTGTGTTGTTCAATTTCTACTAATTTGTGAGTTTTCCAGTTTTGTTACTGATTTCTTTTTTTGTTGTGTTGAAATTTTTTTATGGTATTTATTGTTTTAATACTGAGACTTACTTTGTGGTGAACATATGGTCCATCCTGGAGAATATCCCATGCATACTTGAGAAGAATGTGTATTCTTTTGTTGGGTAGAGTGTTCTATATATGTCTGTTAGATCTAGTTGGTTTATTGTGTTGTTGAAGTCCTCTTGTTTCCTTATCTTCTGTCTGATTCTTTGATCTGTTATTGAAAGTGGGATATTGAAGTCTCTAGCTATTACTGTGGAACTATTTACCCCCTTCAGTTTTTGCTTCATATATTTTGATGATCTTAATAAGTACATAAATATTTGTAATTGTTATCTTTTTTATTGAACTTTTTATTAATATATAATGTCCTCTGTCTCTTGCAGTCTTTTTTTATTTAAATTTTTTTTTGTCTGATAATAGTATAGGAGGTTTATAAACTTCAGTAGTAAATGTATTAGGCTATATGGGCCATATTGGGTCTGTGTTACACATTCTTTTGTTTTTTTTTAAGCCATTTTTCACTCTGGGGCTGTCCAAAAACAAGCCTGAAGCAGGTTACTAATCTCTGCTGTACCTTGAACAGAACTTTTAAAATGGTAATGAATTTATTGTTCCTTTTCTTTATGGCTAATGCTTTTGTCTTGTTAAAAAATTTTTCCTTAATTTGAAATTTTGAAGATATATATTAGATCCTAAAAGCATTATTGTTCTGCCTTCACATTTAGATCTGTAATCCTCCTACAACTGATGTATCAGGCAGAAGTTTTATTTCATCTCCCTTCCCCCATGTGTTTACCCTGTATACTAAGCACAAGTTCTGAAAGGGCCATTCTTATTGTTCTAAACTTCTATTTTCATAAATCATGTGACCTCATATATATTGGTTTGTTTCTGGGTTGGTTTTTTTTTTTTTTTCTTTTATCTATTTGTCTATCCCTGCACCAATCACTGTTTTTTAATTTCTCTAGTTTTATAAACCATCTTACTTTCTGGTAGAGCAGGTTCTACCATTTCCTTCTTGGGGATTGTCTTGCCTGTTCTTGGCAATTTGAATTTCTTCATAAATTTTAGAATCATTTTGTCAAGATACACACACACACACACACTCTGAAAGTTTGATTGGAATTGCATTAACTCACAGTTCGCATGAAAATTGTTTTTTATGAGTCTGCTACTCCATTTAGGTTGTCTTTTTTGTACAGGTTGCAGTTTTTCGTGCAGAGATCTTGCACATTTTTGTTGGTTTATTCCTAGATACTTTTGTTTTTTGTTGCCATTGTAAATATGCTTTTTGCAGTTCCCTTTTTTTTTTTTAAAGATTTTATTTGTTTATTTTGATAGAGAAAGAGCACAATTGGGGGTGAGGAGGCAGAGGGAGAGAGAGAAGCAGTCTCCCCACTGAGCAAGGAGCTGGATTTTGGGCTTGATTCCAGGACTCTGGTATCATGACCTGAGCCGAAGGCAGGGGCTTAACTGACTGAGCCACCCAGGTGTCCCTACTTTTTTTTTTTTTTTTTTTGCATTTTTAAAGTATTTATTTGCTGAGATGATGCTACTAATGGTGCATTATGACTTGTAAAAACAGCTCGGAATTCATTGTCAGTGAACCTTTATTAAACACTCTCTTATTTAATTGGTCTTTTTTTTTATCACTATCAGACATAACCTTTACCTTTTAAGTCAGAATATCTATATAGATACTCTGTGATGTGAGGTCATAAAGCCATGTCCAGCAGTCATGATATATCTGATATTTTCTTTTTATCCTCATCTCCACGTAGTTTGGGTTAGGACATGTCCTTTTAAAGGTGTTTTCTTAATGAATTCTCACCTTTTTTTGTCCTTTTTGTTTGTGAATTATCTCCTTTCAACTCCCGTTCAAAAGCTGCTGTGGGATTCTTGCTTTTTTAATGTAGTTTGTGCTTATTTAATGTACTAGATTCTGTATGGATGGATGGTTTTTAATAGGAAAATGCCAAGACAAGAAATGAAAATGAATTCTCAAAATAGCGTAAGATTCTAGTGTCTGCTTCAGTAGAACATAGACAACAGTGTAAGATTCTAAAAGGAAACATTGCCACTGTTTAGGTTTTTTTTTTTTTAATCCTTTAGAGGACTTGAGACTTTCACTTTCAGTGCCTTTCTCATTGGAAAATCACTGATTACTGCTTTTTTTTTTTTTAAGATTTTATTTATTTATTTGACAGAGAAAGAAAGAAGCAGAGGGAGGGAGAAGCAGACCCCTGTTGAGTAGGGAGCCCAATGCGGGACTCAGTCCCGGGACCCAGGGATCATGACCTGAGCCGAAGGCAGACGCTTAACTGACTGAGCCACCTTGGTGCCCCTGATTACTGCATTTTAAGAAGCAGAATAAAATGAGTTTCTTTCATCTTTTTCCACTGCTAATTACAGTATGCTTATAAGATCTGGAAATTGGAGTCACATAATGTTTTTATAGTATGTGATAATGGTTTTTGCTTTTTTTTTTTTTTTTGAAGTCAATACAAGGATGGTTCTGGGGCACTTAGGTGGCTCAGTCAGTTAAGCATCTGCCTTTGGCTCGGGTCATGATCCTGGGTCCTGGGATCGAGCCCCACATTGGAAATGCTAATTGGAAAAAGATATATGCACCCCTGTGTTCGTTGCAGCATTATTTACAATAGCCAAGATACAGAAACAACCTAATTATCCATTGATAGTTGGACAGATAAAGATGATGGAATATTACACAATGGAATATTACTCAGCCGTAAAAAGAATGAGATCTTGCCATTTGGGACAACATTGTTGGACCTAGAAGGTATTCTGCTAAGTGAAATAAGCCAAAGAAAGAGAAATACTATATGATCTCACTTTTATATGGAATCTAAACAAAGTAAATTGAACAAACAAAAAACAGAAACAGTATCATAAATACAGAGAACTGGTGATTGCCAGAGGTGAGGCCGTTGGGGGGGTGGACAAAATAGGTGAAGTGGTTTAAGAGATACAACTTCCAGGGGCACCTGGGCGGCTCAGATGGTTAAGCGTCTGCCTTTGACTCAGGTCATGATCCCAGGGTCCTGGGAATGAGCCCCACATCGGGCTCCCTGCTCAGCGGGCTCCCTGCTCAGTGGGGAGCCTGCTTCTCCCCCTCCCACTGCTTCTTCCCCTGCTCATGCGCTCTCTCTCTGTATCTCTGTGTCTCGAATGAATTAAAAAAAAAAAAAAAAAAGGTACAACTTCCAGTTACAGAATGGTAAGTTAGGGAATGAAAAGTCCCCATAGAGAATATAGTCAATAGTACTGTAAGGGTGTTGTATGGTGACAATGGATGGTGATTGCATTTACTGGGGTGAAAAAAAAGTTGATGCAGGCAAAAAACTTCATCAGAATTTCTTGAGGCTGTGTGATGAAATTGACATTTCGCTTTTGCTTTGTGGCTCAAGGAAGTCATACTTTTCTCTTTAGAATATTAGACTGTTAGGTTCTGAATAGTTACCATCCCTCCTAGACGTTTTATTTTTGTTTTGAAATTTGTATTTGGAAGTGTTATGTAGCTAACATCTCAGGTGTTTTAAGGAGTTATAGATGATTTCTTTTTCTTTTTTATTTCAGAGAGAGTGAGAGAGTAAGCGGTGGGGGGGCAGGAGAGAGAGAAAGAATCTTAAGCTCGTTTTGATCTCACGACCCTGAGATCATCAAGAGTCCGATGCTTAGCTCAACTGATCCAAGCCACCCTGGCGCCCCTCATGTTTTGTGTTTTTTGTTTTTTGTTTTTTTTTAAAGGATAATGGACACCTGGGTGGCTCGGTCGGTTAAGCGTCTGCCTTCTGCTCAGGTCATGATTTCAGGGTCCTGTGATCTAGTCTGGAATCAGGCTCCCTACTCAAGGGGAAGTCTGCTTCTCCCTCTCCCTCTGCTCTTCTCCCCTGCTTGTGCTCGCTCTCTTTCTCTCTCTCAAATAAATAAAATAAATCTTAAAAAAAAATAAAGGATAATAGAGAAGAGCTCGTTTTGATGGCAGTGGGCATTTAATAGTCCTATGTTTTTATTAATCAGCTTGGTTTAGCTGGTCTTTTGGCTATTTCTTTTATAGAAATGAACAGATCCTAACTGAATGGGTTACATCATTCAGCTGAATTCATGTGTTCTGATTCCATTAATCATGATTTAGGTTACTAAGTAGCTTCCTTTTTCTTAACAAATACACCTATAGGTTATGTCAGCAAGAGCATTCTCCCCTATGTGGAAGTTAATTTTATTGTTATGTGCATAATGGCAAATGTCTCCACACAGATGCTAGTCTCTTTAAACATTACTCTTTAGTGTTGGGTGTATAAAGGGGACTGACATGATAGGAAGGGCCAGAAAAAGATAAGAGAGTTACCTCTCATAGGAAATAAGGCAATTAAAAAGAAAAAAATTCCTCTCACAGTAGAAAAATGACAAGAGAAAGTAATGAGTTCTTTGAACGTTGGTGGCTTTACTTAAACTATTTGCAATACTGTGGTGGTGGTGTTTCAAGAATTGAAAGAATTTGGAGTGGGTGGGTAGAATAGAAAAGATAAATTTTTAAGTATTTCATTAAAAAAATGCTTTCGAGGTATTATTACTGTTTTTTGAAACAACCAGTATCTCATTTTGGTAAAAATATTTTATCTATTTATGAAAATAATAGTTTTTAGTTCTTTGTGACATATGTTAGGAAGTAGGTTTAATTTTTATAAGATTTCCTTTTATGATTATGTAAAAATTACTAATATTAAAGACTTTAAGATTGTAAGCAAATTGCTGATTTATAGTCATGTTTATTTTTAAAATGTGTTACTAACAAAGTTTGGTTGACTGTTTCTATGAATTTTAAAACTTGCTGTCACGTTTTCTTATTTTTGGTTCCCTGTGTATTGTTAGGAAAAAATGAAAATAAATGAATCTTTTATATTTTTAGGCCCGGATAGCATTTTTGCAAGGAGAAAGAAAAGGTCAAGAAAACTTGAAGAAGGATTTAGTAAGAAGAATAAAGATGTTAGAGTATGCATTGAAACAAGAAAGGTATGTGTACCTCATTTTCTAGTAGAACAATATTTTTTTTAATACTAGTGTACAGTGTATTTAAAAGCTCTTTGAAGGGGGGGAAGTCGGAGGGGGAGACGAACCATGAGAGACTATGGACTCTGAGAAACAAACTGAGGGTGCTAGAGGGGAGGGGGGTGGGGGGATGGGTTAGCCTGGTGATGGGTATTAAAGAGGGCACGTACTGAATGGAAAATAAGTAAGTAAGTAAATAAATAAATAAAATCTTTAAAAAATGCATAAATAAAAGAGAATAATCTACTTAAAAAAAAAAAAGCTCTTTGAAAGAAATGAAACCCTGCCCAAAATACAAGATGATACTTTGATTTGATTCTTATAATGGGAAAAGAAAAGATTTAAATCTTTAAAATGGAAATAATTTTGGTCTTTTGTTATGGAACCTAAGTTTTGGGTTTTTTTTTTCTTTAAAGATCAGGAAAAAATTATCTTTACTCAGGTAATTGGGTAATTTACATTAATTTACATTAAATGGGTAATTTACATTTTTTTTCTTTCACAGCAGTGCACCTTTTTTTCTAACTTCCTTTGCAAGTAAAACTTCAAAACAGACATTCATATTATGTTTTATTTGTTATTAGAGAAATATATACCAGTATTAACTGTGTAGAAAAGGAGAAAATACTTTCTTTCAACAATTTATTATTGAATTTTCAGGGCAAAATATCACAAATTAAAATATGGCACAGAACTGAACCAAGGTGATTTGAAAATGCCAACCTTTGAATCAGGTAAACTTGATGCTTCTGTTAACCTTCTCCTGACCCAATTCAAGAAAAATTGGTTTAAGCTCATTTTTATGTAATAGACATGTTTTCTTCACCCTCATTTTGCTTTGACAGCATTGGTTAGTCAAATGGTTGACTACTGTAATATTATCTAGTGTTTTGGGAAAATAATAAATGAATAAGTAGTTTTATCTACATCTCAATCCTGAGGCTATTTATCCTGTTTTCCTTGTGTTGAAACCTTTGTAAAATTGTGGGTGCATTTTTGGTATTAATTAGAGGTGAAAGGTAATGAAACAGTTCTTTCTATACTTGTAGGTAATTCTTAGCCCATATGAGCTTAATTTTTTATTATTACAAAGTTCTTTTTATCTGGAGAAGCTGTGATTAACACAGTTTAATTCTGAAAATTGGAAATTTGATTGAATTTGGAAACCTCATAGGCAGCCAAATAAGGTTAAGAGAAGGAAAAAAAAAAGTCTTCACTTCGTCTTGCAACTATACTAAATTTTGCATCTTGCACTAAATTAAATGAATGGATATTGAGGGTGAGAGTAGTATCTGATGAACAGTTATGCTGGTAAGAGATGGCTGGATATAGGAAAAGGCTAACAGTTTAATGATAATTTTAGGGTTCTATATGATTACAGTTTGAGTAGTCCACACTTGATCTTAGCAAAAGGCCGAGAAGCGATATAGTTTGAGTCGTCTAAACATCTAATAATAAATGAGGATTATTTTGATTTATATTATACAATATTGGGAATATTATCAATTTCTTATTTCAGGTATATTTAGAACTCATATACACATTTTGATGGTGCAGTCAGATTGAATTCTATGCTGTTCTTGGATGCTGGTTACTAAGACGAAAAAAGTGTGCCTTTATTTGGATATGCAATTTTTCCTCTCCTATAGTTGTACCATATCTAATAAAGTCAAAGCATATATGGTAGGGAAAATAAAACTTATGTATGGATTTTTTTTTTAGTTAGGTGGCAGAGTAAATTTTAAAAATTTAATTGGTTTTTAGTTTAATATTAAATACTATTAATTTAATATTAAGTTTAATGTTAAGTACTTAGAACTTGGCAAAACACTTCATACGTACAACCTGCAGTTGATTTAATTTTTCTCTACTGACTAATTTTACCATTTATTATATCTTCAGGTTGTTGGCATATATATAAAATTAAGAAAGAAAATATGAGCAGCATGGGTTTCCTTTTTTTTTTTTTTTAAAGATTTTATTTATTTGTCCGAGACAGAAAAAGAGACAAAGGCAGGCAGAGGGAGAAGCAGGCTCTCCGCTGAGCAAGGACCCAGATGCAGGACTCAATCCCAGGACCCTGGGATCATGACCTGAGCTGAAGGCAGACGCTTAACCGACTGAGTCACCCAAGCATCCCGCGTGGGTTTCCTTTGGTCTGGCTTTTCAGTGATTATGAAGGTTCACTTTGATAGTAGGGAACAATATTGTGGCCTAATCCTTGGAAAAGCAACAATAAATGATAAAAAGATGGAAGGTCTATATATTTTGGGCCTTGTTTAGCTACAGTAGTCTTATTGCAGTTAGAGGGGGTAGAGTAGCTTCACACAACCTAATGAGTTCAGAACTTTTCTTTGACTCCTTTTCTTTCTAATATGGTTAGAATATTCACAAAATAAGTATTCACTTTCTAACTCGAGGGCTATCCCCACTAACTTGGTCTTCGTAAATGTGAGGAAGGTGGCTAGTTGCAGCTGCATTGTTCCTGGAGCTAGAGTCAGAATTGGCTAGCTGGTCTCAGTACAACAACTTGTATAAAACAGATCATTAGCAGATAAATCTCTGCTGCCTACAACTGAGGTAAGATTAAAAACAACTCTGTTTTTATCTGTATAAATTTAACTATTAAAACTTTCTTAAAATGGGGAATACAATGACATCCAAGTATTTTATTTATGGGAACAATAATAGCAAAATAGATTGCTTTTATTGATGTAGAAAAACTTCATGGTGTTGAGCAGGGGAAAACAATGAAGGGATGGGCAAAATACAACATGGAAACAAAATGGAATAAAATTACTTACATCAAAGTATGGATTGAGATAGACATTAAATTAGTGGTGTCTTTTATATATACACAAAATAAATCAAAATGTAAAAAAAATGTGTAAAATATTGTCTTGACAGAAGTACAAGATATGCATGTTTTTATACCTGTGCCTCAGTAATACCAATATGTGTATGTATCCTAAACCGGTTTAACCCTATGTATCTAAATATGTAAAGAGCTCTTTTTCATACATTTAGGGGAAAAAAAAAATCTAACAGTAGAAAAATAGGCAAAAGACTTGAAAAGGCAGCCCATAAGAGAAGATATCCAAATGGCCAATAAGTAGATGAAATGAGACTCAATTTTATTACTTATTGAGGAAATACAACCAAAGTGCAGTGTATACAATTAGACACCTACCAGAATGGCCAAAATAAAATACAAAAGAGAAAAAAGGTCATGTTGATGAGGATTTAGAACAACCATACCTACTGGTGTTGGGATTGAAAATTGATTGAACTGCTCTAAAAGTGGTTTGTCAGTGATAACTAAAGGGAACATAGCCATAGCAGCGTGCTCTGTGGTCCAGTAATTCTGCTTCTAGGTGTTCTACTCCTTAGCAGGCTTACATATGTTCATCATAAGGCTTGTATATAGTATCTTGTAATAAAAATCTGGAAACAACTTGAATGACCTGCAGTGTTAGAATGGGTACATAATACTGTGTGATATTTTAGCATAGTGGAATGCTCTTTAGCAACAAAAATGAACAAACTCTTAACTACACCTGACAACATGGACAGGTAACATAAGACTGAAAATTGATATAAATGATTTCATGAATGTAAAGTTCAAAAATTAATCTAGGTTATAAATCAGGATAGTATTGATATCCTTTTAGGAGTGTCTAGTAATTGGAAGAGGGCACAAGGAAAGCTTTTGGGGTGCTGATAAATGTTTCTTCATCGAGGAACTGGTTATGTTGGTGTGTTAAAAAATTAATTGAGCTGTATGCTTCTGTTGTACTTCAGGGATATCCTTAGCAGCATTATTTATAATAGGGAAAAGTGGAAACTAATGTCAACATTAGTGGACTAGCTAAATTAAATATACTTTCTATGGAATAATTTTATGATATTAATCTATATTGCCATCAAGAGAATGTTGAAATATGTTGTCAAAAGCAGCTTATAGTACAGTGCACACATTGCCCCCCCCCTTTTTTAAGAAAGGAGAAGTTTATGTATTTTGAGATGAAAAATAGGGATTGATAAATTCTTAAGTACTAACACTTGGTGATAGGATTTGGGGCAGTTATAGTTCTTTCTAAAAATGTATTTAAATGTATTTTTTTCTCCAGTGGTTATGTATTATATGTAATTACACAGTAAACAAATGATATAAATAGAAAAAATTATAAACAGAAAAGTAGGCTATTAGGGTACAATAATTATTTCTAGAAATCTTAGAAATTCCTGTGTTCAGGGTAAGAATGAAAAGATGTTAATAATGGGATTGTTAGGCTTAGAGAAGTAATGCCTGCTACCAGTATTTGTTCTCATGACTCTGAGGAGTCTAGGAGCCCAACAACTGTGAGCCATGCTAAGGGTTGTCAACATTCAGTGTGAGGGCTGATCTTCTATGATCCTCTCTTCTCTGCTTTATTTATTTATTTATTTATTTAAGATATTTATTTATTTGACAGAGAGAGGGTCATACAAGCAGGGGGAGGGAGAGGGAGAAGCAGGCTTCCTGCTGAGCAGGGAGTCTGATGCAGGGCTCGATCCCAGGACTCAGGGAACATGACCTGAGCCGAAGGCAGACGCTTAACGACTGAGCCACCCAGGCGCCACTATCTTTATTTTCATAATGGGACTTTATAGGAAAATATTTCTGTGATATCATTAGTGTTGATACATAGTTTTAAATCTGTCTAGGGATACTTATTGAGAGCTTGACTTACCTCAGATTATAGTTTTTTTTTTTTAAAGATGTATTTATTTATTTGAGAGAGAGAGAGTGGGGAGAGGGGCCAGCAGGAGAGGGAGGAGGAGAGAAGCAGACTCCCCACTGATGCGGAGCTTGGCATGGGGCTCGATCTCACCACCCTGAGATTATGACCTGAGCCGAAATCAAGAGTTGGATGCTTAACTGACTGAGCCACCCAGACCCCCGCCCATAGTATTTATTAAACTCTTTCTTAATATATATACTTTTATTCCAGAATAATATATGACTTTTTACTTGTAGTAGAAACTATTTTCTGGTTTAAGTTTTAGTTTTTTTTTTTTTTTTAAGATTTTATTTACTTGAGAGAGGGAACATAAGCAGGGGGAGTGGGAGAGGGAGAAGCAGGCTTCCCGCAGAACAGGGAGCCCAACGCGGGGTTCGATCCCAGGACCCTGGGATCATGACCCAAGCCAAAGGCAGACGCTTAACAGACTGAGCCACCTAGGCGCCCCTTAAGTTTTAGTTCTTAAAATGAAATTGATTATATAAAATGTTATGATATGGACTTAAAGTTAACTGATACAGAGTCAAAATTAAGTTATTCAGTAGTTTTCCTAAGTGTTGATTTTGAATAGCTTAAGTAAATATTAAATATAGCTTTTTATTTTTGAAAGCATTCAACCCAGCAGAATTCTGGTAGTTAAAAAATACTACTCTTTAGCATTTCATTTCAAAGCCTAGTCTTTTGGTTTTTGAATCTCTAGTAGAATAGTTGATGTACTCTGGGGTTTTCCCAATTTTAAAAACAAGGAGGGTTGTACCTGAGTGTTGACTGGGATAAATACATTTAAAATGAGTGACCCACAGTAATTACTCAATAGTTGTTCATTTATTTCTGTCCTTTATAAAATATTTAGTTATATTTTGTGGGAATTTATCCCTGAGAGAACTTCAACAATATTTTCTCAAGAGTTGAAATAATGCGTATGAAATCGTCTTTTTGTGTGTGTGTGTGTGTGTGTGTTAATTTTTAGAAGAAACCAAAGACACAGAAGCTCCCACAGCACCTCAGAATAGCCAGTTAACCTGGAAGCAAGGCAGACAGCTGTTAAGACAGTAAGTAATGGTTCATTTTCAGCTTTCTTTAAGGATCTAGGTATGAAAGTGCTTATATTCAATCACTTTGCAAGTGAAAAATTATTTGGTGATTATAGGACAGTGTGTAGAATTTTCAAATTGCTCTCTTGCTTTATTAGACTATTCGATCTTTTTAAAGTTTGTCTCTTCTGAATGTTCCTTTGAACACTGCTCAGGATGATGATGTTTTCTTATTTGTGGGGTAGAATGTCGTAAAAACTGGATGACTGGAAGGCAAGAACAAAAATAATATAGAGTTCATACTTGTGGATACTCTCATTCCATCACTGCAGAATTCACAGACCTGGGTTTAAGTGGGAGTATTACTGGTTTATAGAGGAATTTAACTGGTTATCTGAAACCTTTCATAAGTGGCTTGCCAAATCTTACTTTTACTTGAATTTTTGAGGAACCTTTTTGACGTTTGAATTCTTTGCTGTATTAGAAGTAATTGTGTGGCATATCTTACTTATTGTCTTTTATCTATTTGTTTTTTGGCCTTATATTTTTAAAGCTTTGGTACCTGTGTACTACTGATAGCCTGGGTAATTTACAATTATTCAGCCTTCTCAACTCTATGCATGTTTAGCTTCACTTCAGTAACCCTGTGAAATGTGGTCAGACCCTTGATCTTCTTACTACCTAGAACTACCCTACTCTGGAATATTCCATGATCCAACACTTGTCTTATATTCCGCCTTTTCCACCCCCAACTCCCATGTTATTTGCCCTCTGACCTTACCATGATCTTTAGATTCTTGGCTACTTCATTTTCCCCTTAAGCTCCTTGAGTTGTGGTTGGTTTTACTTTATTTGTTGATGTGGGCTTTTCTTGTTTTTATTTTTACCTAGATCCGCCTTAGACCTCATCATCCATCACCATTTTGGTAGGACCCCTAGCTTTCTTGCTGCCCTCTCCTACCAGTCATTTTATTATACCTGCAGTATCTCAGCCCTAGTTCAGTCTTGCTGTCTGCTGCTTCTGTTTCTAATTAAATCTTGGAGAAAAATCACAGAGTCCTCTGAATGTCCTTACATATTCATGGTTTCCTGTACAAACATTACAGAGAGCCTTTCTCCATAACCCCGGTCACGTCCTGCTCCCATTATACCTCAGTAGATATTCTAAACTTTTACCCTATCTCAGCCCATTCTGCCTTACTCATTAGAGCACCTCAGGTTCTACTTAACTGAAAATATGAAGGCTTTCAGGTGAGAACTCCCTTAACTTTTTGCTTTCCTTTCTGTAGATGTATTTAAACCTCATATTGATCACTTTAGTTTTTGGTGTTTCATTCAAACTCTTGAAACTATCAGTCCAAACTCTTAGTGACTAAAACTTGAACAAACTTTAGTAAAAACAGATTATTCTTTGGAAGGATGCTAGCAGAATTGAGGAAAGTGCTGAATAACTGAGTATCCGGAAGACAAGAGCCGACATACACCCTGAGGACTTCTCAGGGACTGGAAACACCCATGATAGGTTCTTATTCTCTGGTTTTCTTCTCCTCTGTGTATCAGTTTCAGTGTTTTCTCCTGAAAACCACTTTTCTCCAGATGGCAGGGGACCCCCTGTTTTAGTCAGAATTGGCTTAACTTGATCAAATAAATGCCCATGAGTCAGTTATTTTTACCTAGTTGTGTGAGATCTTAGCTGCTCATTCAGACCGCCACATGGTTAGAGTGTGCTGGCAGCTGTTCTCCGCAAAAGAGAATTGCAGTTGTTAGATGAGTACAGTAGCTGTAGAGAAATCACTTATACAGTATTTCTCTTATAAAAGCCTAATGTTATTGCCTGGATTAATATGCTGTCTCTCCACATCTTTCTCTGACAGTTTTTTTCCGTAGTCTTCCTTGTTCATTTCTCAGCTGTGTACTCTGTTTTCCACTTTGATACTACACTGAAGCTACTCACAAACATACGTAAGAGACCTTTTTTGTTCCTATTTGATCTTTTGGAAATATTTGACATTAACTATTCATTCTTTTTTGAGCTTTTTTCTTACTTACTGTCATTTCCCACCCTTACTTCTCAAGTGCTTGCTTTTATTTTCTTTTGATTTTCTCTTATTTTTCTAGCCCTTTAGATGTCTGTGTCCCCAGGCTTTCTGTTCTAGAGCTTTTTCTCAGGGTAACTTCATTTAAATCCATGGCTTTAAGTACCATCAAACACTGATGACTTCCAAATCTGTTTACTGAGTCCAGTCTTTCCTGAGCTTTGACCTTTCTTATTATTGTGCCTAATAAATGTTGTCACTTTCGTAGATACGACATGATTATCTGATAGGTACCCTATAAACCAGATTTGAACACTTTTATTTTTCATTTCATTGAATAGAACCACCATCTAAGCTAGAAACCTGAAATTTTTCTAAAATTCTTGTATCTCCTTTCATTCTGCTGCCATGTTGATTTGTGCACCAAGTCTCTAAGATTACATCTTATTTTTCTCACGTTTATTCTCTTCAGTTTTATTTCTTGCTGTGTTAGTGTCCTAACCAGTCTCCCTGTCGTTAGCGTTCATGTAAAAATCTTTTGTTCTTTTCCAGTAGTGTCTGAGACTCCTTTTAACATCCTTAGTCTGTCAAATCCTTTAAGAAGAAATTCTTGATCACACAAAGCCATTCATGACCCATTATGTATTATGTCATAATCTGGTCCCTTTCTTCTTTTCAGATCTCATCCTGGATCCTAGATTAGATATACAGGAAGTTTCAGTACCAGATTTTAGATCCTAGAGAGAGAACTAACCTGTCCATCATCCTCTGGCTAAGAACCCAGGTTTAAACTTAGCATGTCACAGTTCTGAGGTTTAGTTCTATTCATTCTTTACCACTTTGTGGACTTTTTAAGTAATATATATCATCAACTCCTAAAGCTTTTTAGGGTTCTTGGGCTTTTTAGGGTTTTTAGGCCCTTAATTAGTGTTAGCCATACTGTATGCTTTCTTAATTAAATTTCAGTTTATAATTGGTCTTGTTCTCTTGGAATTGGAACTAGTCTATAGAGAAGAAAGTTTTGAGGCAAAGGAAGATTATATTTTATAGGGTTATGGGCTTTTCTGAAATTCCTTGATACGATTTTGAGTTAAGTTTGCAGGTATTATATGAGATTTAATATTTTAAATTTTCTCTTATAGATATCTTCAGGAAGTAGGTTACACAGATACAATATTAGATGTACGGTCTCAGCGGGTAAGGTCATTACTTGGACTATCCAATTCAGAACCAAATGGATCAGTAGAAACAAAGAACTTGGAACAGATCCTGAATGGAGGTGAATCTCCTAAGCAAAAAGGACAAGAAATCAAGAGGTATGATCTGTACTTACAAGTTAACATTGCTTCTATAATGGGTACTGTGAATCTCTTTAATTTCTTGTTACTACTGTTAACGATTTTTAAAGCAGGTAGAGTTCAGATTTAAGGACTTTTCCCCTCCTACATGGTACCATGGGCAAATAAATTTTCTGTTCAGGTGCTTTTTAAATTGATCTATCTTAAGTTTTTTTTTTTTTTTTGGAAGTCTTGATCTCATACATACAGATCTTTATTTTTTATATTCTTTTCTATTGTTATGTTAATCACCATACATTACATCATTAGTTTTTGATGTAGTGTTCCATGATTCATTGTGCATAACACCCTGTGCTACATGCAGAATGTGCCCTCTTTAATACCCATCACCAGGCTAACCCATCCTCCCACCCCCCTCCCCTCTAGAACCCTCAGTTTGTTTTTCAGAGTCCATCGTCTCTCACGGTTCGTCTCCCCCTCCGATTTCCCCCCCTTGATTCTCCCCCTGCTATCTTCTTCTTCTTTATTTTCTTAACATATATTGCATTATTTGTTTCAGAGGTACAGATCTGTGATTCAACAGTCTTGCACAATTCACAGCGCTCACCATAGCACATACCCTTCCCTATCTTACGTTTTGATACCAAGAAATTGGCTATAGTTCTGAAATAGGTGCAAAATTAAAATTCAATTTGGGAGTAATTTCATGTAGTTCAGAGCTATTTTAACTTCCTGATTTAAATTTTTGCTAGGGTATTTTCAATAAATTATAATGGTACTCTATAACTAAAATAGCAATGGTTATGAAAGAAACAAGGTTTTGTGTTATATTTGGGCTCAGAAAGCCACCAGTTATACTTTTTAAAATTTAATGTCTTTACTGAGATAAAATTCACATACTATACATTTCTGCTGTTTAAAATATGTAGTTTGTTTTTAGGATATTCAGAGTCTCTCAGCCATCACCACAGTCTTAGTTTTGAAAATATTCATCCCCAAAAGGAACCCCATACTTATTAGCCAACACTTCCCGTTCTCCCCTGCACTCCTTTCACCACCCACCCTAGGCAACCACTAATCTACTTTATGTTTCTATAGATTCCCTATTCTGAACATTTCATATAAATGGTTATTTTGTGAGTGGCTTCTTTACCTTAGCATAATATTTTTTAAGCTTCACCCGTGTGTCAATAATTCATTCCTTTTTATTGCCAAATAATATTCTGTTCTATGGTTATATCACATTTTGTTTATCCATTCCTTGTCCAGTTGATGGGTTTGTGGATTGGTTCTACATTTTGAAATAGAGACTAATGCTACTTGGAACATTGGTGTACATGTTTTCAGTTTTTTGGGGTATATACCCAGGAATGGAATTTCTGAGTCATATGGTAACTCTGTGTTTTCCTTGTCGAGGAAGTTCCAAACTCTTCCAAAGTGGCTAAACTATTTTACATTCCCACCAGAAATTTCTTCATGTCCTCATCAAAATTTGATGTTTTCTATCAGATGTACCTTTGGTTAATACAGACTTGATAAATCAAGGTGTTAATAAGTAGGTAGAACTCCCCCCCCCCAACTAAATGTCACCTTGAAAACATAAGTTTTCTGGAAAGACATAGAAAAGAAGAAGAGAATGGAAAGAAACTAACATTGAGTTCCTTTAGAGCTTAAGAAATGAATAATATGTGTAGTTTAAAAACTAGCATTATTTCATACCTTAGCTGTATTTCATGATACTATGCTTTTGTTTAAAACATGTACTAAAAATTTCAAGTTAACATAAGCCTTTGCTTTAGGGTTTTTATTTCTGAGAAGGAAGGTCTCTTCAATAACATTTGACATCAGATAGAGCTCTTATTTTCTTTACTCTGTATTTCAGGAAGCACAGAATATTTTTGTGGTATAAGAGAAAAAGCAAAAGTATTTTTGCTTTTTAAGCTTGTTAGTTAATCAGGCTAAGTAGTTTGTAGAATTTATAATATTTAGAGGACTGCAGTTTAGCACACCTGAATCTGAATTAAATCTCCACACCAGACTTAATTTTCTTGTAAAGCTTCTTGGCTTTGCAAGATTAAGACCTTAATAGGTTTCTTTTCTGTTGTGTTTAAAAAACACATAACATGAGATCTATCCTCTTAACAATTTTTAAAGTATACAGTGCAGTCTTGTTAACCATAAAAACAATGTTGTAGAGTACACCTCTAGAACTTTTCATCTTTCATGACTGAAACTCTATACCTATTGAATAGCAACTCCTATTTCCTCTTCCTATCAGCCCCTGGCAACCACCGTTCAACTTTGTTTCTATGAGTGACTGCTTTAAATACTCATGAAGTGGAATCATGTAGTGTTTGTCCTTCTTTGACCGCCTTATTTCACTTAGCATAATGTCATTTAGGTTCAGCAGTGTGTAGCATATGACAAAATTTCCTTTTTTATGGCTGAGTAATATTCCATTGCATGTATATACCACATTTTTTTTAATCCATTCATGTGTCCATAGATGTTTAGGTAATAGTTGTTCTTAATCAAGGCTGATTTCCATCTTAATGAGTATAGTTACATATTCTGAATCTGCACGTATGTGTGGTTCAGCTATTATTCGGGCCTTTGAAAACTCCTAAGAATGAGAGAAATGATCTAACATGTTGAGATTTTTAGCAGAAGGATGTTTATCACATTCTTATTTATAATAGTAAAAAGTTAGAAGCAATCTTAATGTTTACCAGGAGAGCAATGGTAAATTTTAGATCGTATTATTAGAGGCAGTATGCTTAATGGTTTAGAACGTGAAGTCTGAGGAGGATTTTAAATTGTGACTTTGCCACTTATTAGCTATTAGCTATGACTTTGGGCAAGGTATTTAACCTTCCTGTGCCTCAGTTTCCTCACTTGTAAAATAGTGATGGTAGGGTTAATGTGAAGAAGAAATGAATTAATAGGGAAGCATTTAGAATAATGCCTGGCACGTAGTAAGTGCTAGCTATGATGAAATATTGTGTATCCTGTTGAAATGTGACCCTACCAGAGTAATATTTACTAGACTCTGCTGAGTGAATGTCACGCTTGTATTGGTTGGTTTATTGTAGCAGGGGTGTTGTGGATGCCTAGTGCATTGTGTCACAAAGCATCTACTTTATGAGGATTCATGGGAGGACAGAGTTCTCTTAGATTTTGCAACTGGGAGAAACTTTGCTGCTTCTTAATAATTGGTTTGATTTACCTGTGAACCTCCAGTAGTTGCTCCCTTTCTCGTTTTATTCTGTTTGGAATCTTGCCATATTTGTGCCCTGCATACATGCTCCTCCACCCCCCACTGACTTTTAGCCTTTTACTTACCAACCCTGCCCTTGGCTTCTATTTTATTTTCTCCTCATCTGGACATTTTAATTTTTTTACTCCATTGATTTTCTTTTTACAGTGAGAGAGGATAGTAAATAAATAGTTGGCAAAGAAAAAAAAAACTTAAAAAATCCATAGACAAAGACTTTTTCTTAAGCATCACGGATTAATAAAATCACATTCTAGTTGTGTGCCTTCTGGAACCTCTGTTAAAATTACAGTTAAAGACTTTTTAAGATGCATTAACACATAAGAACAAAAAAACTGAATATGTAGAAAAAATGAGAGGATGTACTGTACATCAGATAGGGTTAGCTTAACAATTATGGAAGTTGGAAAGAATATGGAGGAATATCACATGCCTTAAATCTAAGGACATTCAGGAGCAATAATAAGAAAAGGAATAAGCCAATTAAAGTCATAAAATGCCAGCAAAGCTCCAAAGGCTAAGGAATTAGAGGTATCAGATACATCTGGATTGGATTTAGAGGGGGTTATGATTGGAACATTGGTTTAAAGTTTATGTAAGAGGTAGTTAGAATCTCAGATCTCTTCTTTTATCCTGTGTAGCAAGCTGAACACCCCTCCACCTGTGGTGGTATATTTTCCAGTGAAGCTGAACCATGATTTGTGATTTCTTAAGAAATAAAGCAACTTTAGGATAGAATCTACTTAACTGGAAACAGGAGGATTATCTGAATCTCCAGCTGAGCAGTGAAATCCCCTGTTTTCTTCTAGTATTTGGCTTCTGGTATGTTTGCATGGGTCTTATATCCCTTCCAGGCAGAATGTTGAAATTTATCACATTAAATAGAAAAGACTTAATAGTACTGACAGTTGGAATCTGCTGGTGAAATGGTGAACCTCTGTCCTATCATGCAGAAGTGAAGCCAGCTGCTTTGGCAAAACCTCACCCATGTAATACATACAGTTAGCTTTTTGGTGCCTCACTCTTAAAGGTGAACCTTTTAGGAAAGACTTTAATACGGAAATTGGAGATAAAGGAAGCAAAGAAAAAAGGAACTCAAAACAGGGAGCACAAAAACAAAACAAAACAAAAAAAAAAATGGAGCAGTTTTTCAAAACTATAATTACTCTTCTGAAAAGACTGAGAGAAGATAATACCTCTGCAAAACAATTAGGATGTTATTTGGTGATGGACATTAAGGAGGGCACGGGATGTAATGAGCACTGGATATTATATAAACTGATGAATCACTGAACTCTACCTCTGAAACTAATAATACATTATATGTTAATTAATTGAATTTAAAAAGCTCTAAAAAGGATTCAATCAGAAATCAAAAAAGAGCTATTAGAAATTAAAAGGTGTGATAGAAATAATTTCCACATAAAACTTAGAGGATAAGGTTGAAGAATCACCCCCCACCCCCACCCTCCAAAAAGAGGAAAGAGGAAATGGGACTGAAAAGATAGGAAAATTCAGAGATCAGTTCAATAGAGCCAACATCTGACTAGGAGTTTCAGAGAGAACAAGTAAAATGCTCTTGAAAAGAAATTAAATTAGTAATAAAAGGAAATTTTCTGGAATACATTTACAGAATGTTAATTTTCAAGGATGTTTCCATTGAAAGGATTCTTCCCAATTACACTATAAAATTAATAAATAAAAAAAACATACAAAGGCCATCATCCTGAATGCTAAAAAGAAGCATCTCAAAAGAAACAGTGTATTAGCATGCAAGTAGGATAAAGTCTCAGACCCTTCATAGTCCGTGATGGCTTTGATTTTCATTTTCCTAAAGACTGATGATGTTGAGCATCAGTTTATGTCATCTGTGTAGCTTTTGATACAGTGTCTATTTGAATAATGTTCCCATTTTTTATTTTATTTGTTACTGTTATTTAAGCGTTCTTTATATATTCTGGACACAGGTTGTCTTCATCAAATATGTGACTTGCAAATATCCTCTCCCAATCTGTAGGCTTTTCTTTAAGTTCTCTTAACAGTGTCTTTTGAAGAACAAAGTTTTTAATTTTGGGAAGTCTGATTCATTTTCTTTTATGGATTGTGTTCTATTTGTCTTTTAAAGCCATGCAAATGTATTGCTGTGATGAAATACAATTTTAAAGGGATTCCTGGGTGACTCAGTCGGTTAAGTGTCTGCCTTGGGCTCGGGTCCTGATCCCAGGGTCCTGGGATTGAGTCCCACATCAGGCCCTTGCTCAGCGGGGACCCTGCTTCTCCTGCCTCAGCTTCCCCTGCTCATGCTTTCTCTCTCTCTGACAAATAAATAAATAAAATCTTAAAAAAAAAAAAAAGAAATACAGTTTTAAAAACTTAAAACATGAGTTTCACTTTAGAGACAGACATTTCTTTTCTTTCCCTTTTTTTTTTTTTTTAAGATTTAGGGCGCCTGGGTGGCTCAGTCGGTTAAGCATCTGCCTTCGGCTCAGGTCATGATCCCAGGTACTGGGATCGAGTCCCGCATCGGGTTCCTTGCCCCGCAGGGAGCCTGCTTTTCCAACTCTGCCTCTGCCCCCACCCCCGTCTCTCATGAATAAATAAAATCTTAAAAAAAAGATTTTATTTATTTGAGAGAAGGAGAGAACTAAAGGGAGAGAGCAAGCACAAGTAGGGGGGCAGAGGGAGAGGGTGAAGCAGGCTTCCCAGTGAGCAGGGAACCCAGCATGGGACTTGATTCAGAGTCAGATGCTCAACCAACAGAGCCACCCAGGTGCTCCTGTTGTTGATTTCAGCTCAGGTTATGATTTCAGGATCTTGAGATCAAGCCCTGCAATGGGGGCTCTGCACTGTGGAGCCTACTTAAGATGCTCTCTTTCCCTCTCCCTTTCCCCCTCCCTCCCCACCTTAAAGGAAAAAAAAAAGTCTGAATTATATTGTGTCCTTAGAAACAGGGAGGGGCGAAAGCTTCAAATTTTAGATTATTATTCTTTTTGGTACCAAAAGATCATCTAGTTCAACCCAGACAGTTTACAGGTAAAGAAATTGTGGCTAAAAGGTTTAAGTGACTTGGCCAAATTCAGTCATCTAGTTAATAGAAGAGCAGAGACTTTTAATGTGAAAGTCTGTGTTGGGCTGAAATTTCCACTGTTCTTTTGCTTTGTTATTAGACATTTATTTTTTTTTTCTTTCTTTTTTTTTTTTTTTAAAGATTTTATTTATTTATTTTGACAGAGAGAGAGACAGCGAGAGAGGGATCACAAGCAGGGGGAGTGGGAGAGGGAGAAGCAGGCTTTCCGCTGAGCAGAGAGCCCGACGTGGGGCTCGATCCCAGGACCCTGGGATCATGATCCGAGCAGAAGGCAGACACTTAAGGACTGAGCCACCCAGGCGCCCCTGTTATTAGACATTTAAACAACTTTTTGGAAACCCTTTTTTGTTCATAGAAAGGAACTCAGATTACAGTTTAAAAAATGACTTCATAGGTAGATTAAAAGAGATTATCATTATTACCTATTGAATGATTCTGAAGGACTTGAAAGTATTTTAGTATATTAAGAATCCTGTTTTCTAGGTAAGAAAATCTGTGAAATGGATTGGAATAGCTGTATCTGATTTATTACATAACTTTAAATCTGGGCAGGTTTTAGTCTTCAGACATTTGGGCCTTTATAAGAGGTTGTAGAGCTATAAGAAATGCTAAGTTTAGCTTGCTTGCTTATGATGGCTTTTTTTTGAGAAATAATACCACATTTGTCTGTTACTATAAGATTTTGATAGAGTAATTACTCAAAGTATTTTGGCCAATAAACATTGGAGAACCTTAACAGAACAGTCACTTTTACTTTAGAAAACATAATCTTCAAAACATTCTTTTCTTGGGTTAAATACTTAGGCAATGCATTATAAGTAGCTTATTGTTTGACTCTCTATACTACTTTCAAGTACTGTTTTAAAATAGGAACCAGAAATATTAGAATTAACCATTGGAATATTTGGATTCATCTTTTTCCCCTTTGACAGGCCCTCTGGTGATGTTCTTGAGACATTCAATTTTTTAGAAAATGCTGATGACAGTGATGAAGAAGAGGAAAATGACATGATTGAAGGCATCCCAGAAGGAAAAGATAAACATCGGATAAATAAACACAAAGTAGGAACTCAGTTTTTAATTTTTATTAGCTAAAATAAACATACACATGTATTTGGAATAGAAATTTTCAAGATGTCTTAAGTTACATTGGGAGTGATTTTTTTTTTTTAATCATCTTGAAAGTTTTATATATTGTCAGTTCTTATTATTACCCATGTATAGTAGAAATTACTATTTTCTGTATCATTCACTAAATTGCAAAAAGGGGTCTGTTTTGGGCACCTGGGTGGCTCGGTTGTTGGGCATCTGCCTTTGGCTCGGGTCATGATCCCAGGATTCTGGGATCGAGCCCAGCATCGAGCTACCCCCTCGGCGGGAGGCCTGCGTCTCCCTCTCCCACTCCCCTTGCTTGTGTTCCCTCTCTCGCTGTGTCTCTCTCTCTCAAATAAATAAACTCTAAAAAAGGGGGGATGGGAGGGATCTGTTTTTATAGAACTAGTTTGGCTGTTTGAAACTTTAAAAAAACAAAAACAAAAAACCACCTTCTCCACTCCTACAATTAAGAATCACTGCTGAAGACTGTCTCTTTATGTACAGTAAACAGGTGATAAATAAAGTGAAGCTAAAACAGGGATACTCCCACTCTGGGTGAGGGAGTAAACTATGGATTGTAAATGTACGTGTCCATATTCTTGTTCTTTGATAAGGATTAATAAAAATTTACTTTTACACATAACCTAAGAAACTGAATTACCAATTTTATCAGTGATGTGGGTTAGCTTTAAGAGTATACACAGATTAGATGATCCATTTATGAATTACCACAGTAGCATAGAGTATTTCGTGTATCTAAAAAAAAGTAGATAGGTTAAATTTTGGTTCCTTGGGATGTTCTTGTTCCTCAAGAAAAGTTTCTAGGCTATTAAAGCAGTTTTCAATGTTCCTATCACATTTCATGTATGCAGCATACTCATGTGTGTAACTTGGGTAAATGGAGATTCCCTCCCCCCCTTTTTCCTTGGGAGCCAAAGTACTATTATTATCACAGCTACTGACTTAAGATCAGTTAATATCCTTACCAGCTATGCCATATAGCCCTGTGAATTATGGATTACATATGCATTTCTCAGTGAGTGAAGTCAGTTCAACACAATGTATCAGAATGTAAGTGAGTGAAAGTGTCTATAAATAGGGGTAATTGTGAATATTATAATTAAAGAACTTAAATATTTTTTAATTAGTATTTTAACTGTTTTTTACAACCAGATTACTTGCATCACATCTTACAGTAATCTTCACATGGTACTATTAAGAACCATTTATATAGGGTATAATTTGGGATTGGTGAAATAGATGGAAAATCTAAAATTTTGTATATGTAAGTAATTTAATAATTGGAGTGCAAATATAAAGATAAATGTGTGAAAACATATAAAGGACGCCTTTAAAATTAGGATAAAAGTAATTTTTGGCTTATGTTCCATTTACAGATAGGTAATGAAGGTTTAGCTGCTGACCTAACTGATGATCCTGATACTGAGGAAGCACTGAAAGAATTTGATTTTTTAGTGACTGCTGAAGATGGTGAAGGAGCTGGAGAAGCACGGAGTTCAGGGGATGGCACAGAATGGGGTAAGGTGATAAAGAAATATGGGGGTGGGAGAATAGCTTTTAAAGATGTATTGCTATTGAATATTATATGTGGAATGTGAGTATTTGAATGTATGATGGCAGTTGAACAAGAGCAAGGGTATTTTGCACCAATTTGTTTAGATTTGGTGACAGAACTATTGTTTATGACTTTTGGTGGATTTTGATTTTTGAAACTTATCTTGAATTAAAGTTGAAAGAAATCCAATTTCTTTCCTTTTAGCAAATGAAAAAAAAGCATGTATATAGTTTTAAACATTCTCATTAATTTGGTAATGAATCTAGGTTTAAAGATTTAACTCTTTTGTTATGTCCATATGATGTTACCTGACTTACTGCTAGAAAGTAATAAAGCTACTAATCCTGAATTATAGCTTCATATTGAACAAGGTTTAGTGAAGATATTAAACTTTACTACATATAATATTTAGTGTGCATATGTAAGGCCTAGCCTTTGGAAATGGTATGTAATGCTAATAATAATCCAGCCATAACTAAAAGAAAACAGTTGTATTTATACAGGGTTAAAAACCCCATTAGAAAATAGAAGTATAAAAATTATATTGAGATAGTAGCTGAGGTCCACTCTCCTGTGCATTCAGTCAACTTTTAATACCAGCATGTTATCTGGCAGGTTTACAGTGTTTACAGAGTTTTATGGGAGAAGGTTACTAAGTACCTTAATGCACATTTCAAATGAACACCAAAGTTGCTTAGTTACCAGCAGGAGGAATTATCACAAGCTACTTAAAAACTACTTTGGTGATGGGGAACACATGTAATTTAAAAATGCCTCATTTGTGTATTGAACCTGAATTTGCTAATAGCAGGAGAAACAAAACCTAATAGGTAATACAATTATTTACTATCCTGATAACAATTCAAGTACTTAAAATTCTGAATTTTGGTACCAACTTTCTTATTGATTATAATTCTCAAGCATTGTTTCAGACCTTTACTTATCTCTTCTTCTAATTGGAAAGAGAAGAGGCACATTAGTTGAAAATATGAAAAAACTTCAGAATTACTTTCTAGACTTTGAATATACATTTTTGTACTTACTTGAAAATGGCTATATTCTAGTTTACTTTTCTTAAGAATTAGCATTGCTCAGGGGGCACGATAAAAGTATCAAAGTTTTCTTTAGCTTCTTTGTGCAACCCATTCAGTGTTGGAAATACCTAATTTTTTTCCCCAGTAGTTTCTAAAGTACTGGGGTTTTTTTCCAGGTTATTTTATAATTATATAAATATATAATTATTTTATAACTTGTGTATTTTAGGAGTTTTAGAAACCCACACATACCTGTGAAGAAGAAATTAAAAATAACCTATAATGCCACTATGTAAAGAGAATCATGGTTAACATTTATATATATATATATATATAATATATAATATATATTATATATATATATTTGTCTTTAATGAAAGATTTTTGCTTAGTGCCAATTTATAACCCGCACTTTTCACCTAATACATTGTTCTTCTGCAACAGCATTTTTAATAGCTTCATAATATTCTGTCAGTATGTTCCATTATTTAATTGGGGCTTTACTGATGAATATTTAGATTATTTTCATTAAGGAAAATAATCAACAATTTTCAAATATCTTTGTAGCTAAATCTTGGCATATAACCATCCCTGCTTTCTTTGCCTAGAATTGCTGGAAGTTTAACTGTTAGTTAAAAGAATATACAAAAATTTCAGGAATTTAATTTGTATAAAATGGCATTATTTCTTTAATAATGAAATACCATATGGTGTACAGTCTATTGGGACTTCTATCCAAAGACTTTTGGCTCTAGAGCAGTTTCAAAAGCAGACCTAAATAGTGAATGGTAACTGTGTAAAACGTTATTCACTTTTACTATTACTGTTTGAGAGTGACCTGAATCTTTGTGTAAATGGAAGTAACTGAAAGTCTTTTCCTTCTAGATGAGACTGAACCATCTTTAAAGCATTTTAAGTTCTTTAGAAAGAAAAGAACAAAATTGTTCAAGTAGTTTCTTTCCTTAACAAGTGAAAACTGTCAAAGGATTTCTGAATTTTTCATTTCTACTCAACAGGTGCTATATTCAGTTTTTCCAAAACAAAGAGGAGGGATATACAAACATACCTTTATTTAACTCATTTGCTTAAATTTGAATTTACTTACAAATGGGAAGGTGGCAGTTTTTGAGATTTAAATTATTGAATAAAAGACTTTTTTTGTTCTTTTTTTTGTTTTTAATAAGTAAAGTATCCTAATGAAACATATCATATCCCAGTACTCACCCACAGTGGGTAATCTGTTGTTTTTTATTTTGTAATAAAATAAAAAAGAGTAGAAATCTCAGTCTAATTTTGAATACTTTTATCCTATCAAACATCACTGCATTTTAGGATGCTTTTAAATCCTATTTTTCTTTTCTCATCTACATTAGGTAGTCTAAGTTTAATTTTGGTAGTTTTTAGTTCTTACAATCAAAAATAGTAGTAGGCATTTCTAATTTTGCTATTTCTCTCATGGAGACTTGGCATTTTAAGCATGTTTGGTTATTTTCTCCTCTACTTTGAAACTGTGATTTGTGGAAATTTATAGGACTACCGAATGTAATTAGTACCTGAATGTTTGTATTTAAATATAATGGATTGGATAAAGTACTGAATATTTGCATAAAGTGAAGTTAGTTATATTTTTATGCTACATTAAGTAGATTTATATAATTCCTCTGCTCTGATAGTTAGAATTACCATAGTAGAATTTTATGTTTTCATGGTTTTGAGTTTTTAAGGGATATTTTTTTGTGTGTGTATATTTGTGTTTTCTTTTAAACAAAAAAGTTCCCCTAACTGATTCAACCTCATTTCTTGGTATTTTTTCCCCCTAGATTTTTAAAAAACTGAATTAATATGTAGAAGATTATGCTGCCTCTTCCCTTTTGCTCTTAACTATTTCTTATAAGCAATATCAAATCATCTGTTATTACAGGCAAGTTTCAGGATGTTTTTTGTGCACATATGCATTCACCAACCTGTTCTTTGCACTGCTTTGAGTTAACCTTTGTTTTCTAGACTTTAGGTTATCTTGCAAGTAATATTTGTTTTATTTCCCCTTAAGACATCCTTTTTGTTCCTTTTTGCTTTTTCACTCCAGTACCCTTTGCTACTTGAATTAGAGTTACTCACAGCTTTATTTTTTCTACGAGGTCTTTTAACTGTTGGGCTATCTTACTAAAATTTTCTGTCCTATGGAATTACCTGTGTAAAATTTATACCACTTAAGCTTTTTTTTTTTTTCTTTCTGTAAATTTAAAAATGTGTCAATTTGGCTTACTTTAAGTGGTCACTTTTAAAAATAATTGCTAATTTTATTAAGATGAATGCAAATGATTCCTTCTTTAGATTACTTTTTGGGGGGAAGTAGCCAGTGAGTTCACAGAATAATTTCTGATACAGCAGTTTTCAGTAAACTTCATGATTAGAGTGCACAAAAAGTGAATTTTCTCTTTAAATCAGTATTACTACAATATTACAAACTACTACAATTTGCAGATTTGACAGATAATCTCATGTGTAAGTTTCAATCTTTAGCAGCCTAGTTTTAAGTAATTCAAGTTGGCAAATTACTTTAAAGCTTTGAATTTAGCTTTTTACATAATGACTGCCTAAGATCATAGGTATATCCATAGGGAAGAAAGTGATAACAATTATAGGAAAGGCTCAAGGGTCAGTAAGTAATTGAATTTCTACGTGCCATTCAAATATGAGAATTTCTTATATTTACTACGTACAGCAATCTGTGAGGGGGAAAAACTGCCTTTTTATGTCCACTGCATGGATTAAGTCAGTGAGGCCTAGGCAGTTTTACAAGACTTGTGGTCTGGAATATAATGGGTTATCAAAAATTTAGCAAGTATGTTTTCCCTAAAATCTCACTATTCGGTCAGTCCTGTTGATGGACTTAGCCTGTGTGTTTTGGTATAATTTTTATTTAGTAACATGGTTACATAAACTCATAGTTGTTACTCTGTAACAGAATGTTAAACTTTCTAATAACATGGCTGTTTTAAAACTAAACAAATGAAGGGAAAACCCTTAATACTTAAAGTAATTCTAATAGACTTATTTTTATTCTGCTTCTTTTTAATGCTGTTTTTCTTCTAGTTTATTACAGAGTAAAATTTTTCCAGGCACAAGTATTTACTTACAATAAATACAGATTTGTTATTCAGCTAAAATAGCTGAAGTTTCATCTTTAGCAGATGTACAGCACTGTATGTTTTCACTTCTCCATGCTTGTCACTGCTTTTATCATACCCTAAAAAAAATCAACTCAAAAAATTCTTCAGTGGAATTTGAGTTTTGTTTTTTGTTTTTTTTTGCTAATCTTAGTTGTAGACCAATGGAAGAAGGTAATGAGATGTTGAACTATTTGGGTGGGGTGGGGGCCGAGGTGGGATTCTCTGAATGCTTTGTATGTATTATTGGAGACAATGTATTTTGGAACTATATGTATGTATTATATTGGACTAGAATGCCTCTCCATTAGTATAGTTAGCCCGTGCATGCAGAATCAGTGTGACAGAAGGTGCATGAATATTTTCATCAATAAAATGGCACTGACCTTTCCAGCTTGCACTCTTATGAGTAGTTCGCATGTAATTCATTCATTTGCTTTTATGATGCTGGCTGAATAATTTTTATGAACATTTTTATAAAGATGCAGTGATCTATTTTGTATAACATTAATTTTCTAATGTCAGTCCATTGAATATTAGTCATTGAAAGAATAATAACCTTCAAATTTGTGATTCATAGAAATGAAGCACCATTTAACTGTTAGTATTAACTGTTTAGAAACTTATGAGATGGGCATTTAGAGTTTGAGTTGTGAATACCAAAACTGAAACTGCACCTTTAAAGTATTTTGGGTATATGCTGTTAGTATATTTTTATTATGATTATGTAAAGCTATAACAGTTTACTGCCAACAGCTT